ATCTGCCAATGCAGAAAGATGTTCTTTGGCGTCCTGTAAAGTTTAAATGTTATCATTGGCACAGGTATGCTTGGTGGAGAATATGCAACTCATAGTTAATAAAATACATATATCCTAAGTCCAGAGAGAAGAGACAGCAAAACTGAGACCGATAATGAAAATAATGTGTTCAACAAGGTCATCATACTGAAAGCGTTAAACAGATTACCTCATCAAGGTAATCAGCATCCAAGTCGCCAGAGTTATCAACATTTCCAAAGATGAATCCAAGGTTAAAACCCCTGCTGTTGTCCTCATATTCCTCATCGTCGTCTGCAGCAGACATGTAAAAGATTGGTGCTCACAAAACAAATCTTGGCTAGCAAGGGGAATGCATGTGAACTGATAATCATCATGAGCATTTAGAAATCACAAATTTTGCATATTAACACTCTTGTTAGACTGCTAAATCCAAGGTCACCTAATCATTGGATTCTTCTCTCTATCATCTTATCAGGCTACAGTCTTGGCCTCTATCTAGTGAAACTACTATTCCCAAATCTCTCCGTCAACTTAGATCCTACAAACCCAATTCCCACTAGAAATTTAGAAAGAATGATCTTAACTGTCCCCTAGAACATGTCCAGGATCACTCAAGACTGCTCCTATTCTACTTAAAGAAATCTGAAATATTCAAAACCGTAAATCATTCATGACCTAGCCTAAATGCACCGAACACTAGCTAGACAGGGACATCTCTAGTTTCACAAATTGTAGTAATCCACCTAATATTTCCAATTTCTTTGTCAATTAAGATTCTACAAACCCATGTCCAGGATCACTCAAGGCAGCTCCTTTTCTACTTCAAGAGGCGACACAAAAGTCAATCCGAAATATTCAAAACAATAGAACAGTCATAAGCTAGACAGGCACATCTCTAGTTTCAGAAACAGTCATAAATTGTAGAACAGTCATAAAGCAACAAAATTTGATAAGAAAGCAACATATACTTACCTGAGGAAGTCTCATTGTGGGAACCCTTGCCGTTGGATTCAGCCATATTCAAAAGCTTTAACTACAATGGTGGAAATCAGGAGACGGCAAGACAATTGTCCTTCCCAAATCCCCAACCATTAAAACTCAATCGAAACCTTCAAAAACAAAAACAAAAAACTATACAATTACAAGCCAACCTAAACGGACCTGGAAACAAAAGCTAACTTCTTTATCTGAAACTTCATCAAAAGAGACTCAATTTTGGTTTTAAATCACAACCAAATCGAAACCCCATTGATCAATTCTCGTGTTAAGCTGAATTGCAATCAAAGCATTGGATAAAATTGAGAAGACGATACGATACGATACCATTCACTGAACGTGATTGTTGGATTGGGGGGTTCTTTCTTGAAACCCTAATTGAGGGTATAAGTAAGCTTCTTCGCCGGAGAAGGTGAACCAGCTCAATCGGACGAGACGGTACGATGTCGGAGAAAAGTTCCGAGGTAAGCAAACTCTCGAATCGGAGGAAAGAAAAAATAATGTAAAAAGAAGAAATTGCGAAGCGACCAAGACAAGATTGTGAGGGCATTTATAAAAGTTTATAACCCGACCCGAATAAAGTTTGAGTCCGGGTCGAATTTCTAAACCATAAATTTTCAGTATCGTTATTTCGGTATGGAGGTGGTTTAGTAGAAATAGAGTCGGTTATGGAGTAATTGGTTTTGTTTAATCAATGGCAATTTTACGAATTTCATAGATACATCTATAATATTTTTAAAGAAAATTAAATTTTAAAATTTTAATAGTATTATAATTACGTAATTATTATAGCTGAACATTTTAAATAAAAATGGTTTGAATGAAATTATAATATCATCAAACTATAAAAATAAAATAATTCATAAACCAAAAATTATTTTAATGCACGAACGATCTGAATAATATTAACTAAAGCCAGCAGAGTACATAGGCTATAAAACAAACCACCAATTGAAATGATACCAGATAGTATCTAAAGAAGAAAGTTTAAAACATATGAAGATTGAAAAAAGTATTTAAAATTAAAATATCTTTTTTACAGTGAGTTCTACATATGGGAAAACCGCTAAATTAAAAGTTCGACATTGATGAACTCATTTAGCCATGAGCATCCTTTACGAATAAACAGATCTATGAAAATCAAGGTTATGGATCAACGACCAAATGATTGTAAAAAAAAAAAAAAACTTACATCTAAATTTTTGTTTAAATTTCCGTGAATATCAAAGTTCAAAGAACATTAGTAGATTCGAACAAAACTTTGAAAAAAATCAAAATATAAAACCTAATATTGATATGGCGTAAATGATAAGAAACTAAACAACACCATTATCAAACTCGCGATGCAGAATAGATCTCGAACTAACGAACATAATAGATCTCGAACGAATCGGATAAATAAAGACAAGAAACAATCACTGTCAACACCAGATGAATCAATTTGACAAAATATTAGAATCTAAGAATTGTTTATTAATAATTAAAATCGATCTATTAATATTTCGGTCTTCTTATCTTCATCTATACTATTAAAAGAGAAGTACAAATGCAAATGGATCGGGTCAAAATCAGAAAATTGATGAAATCGGATCTTTATTTTTTTTTGGAATATGATTTCTAATTAATATTTAATAATGAAAAATCAAACTAAAATCAAATATTTATGGAAATCAAATAAAATCTTATTGTATTTATGGTAACTAATTATAAAATCATTATAAAAGCATATTCCGAATAATACTATACATTAATTACGTATAATATATTTGTTCATATATTTTTGGAACTAATTCCATAACAATCAACGTTTTTGTCATTAATTTTGCTTATTTTAGGCAATTATCATTAAATAATTGAAAGATATCTTACTTGCTTCAAAAAATTTCTAGAAAATTTATCACAACTAACCCATCTATTTTATAAATTAAATATATATTTTTATTTTGGTCGTGTAAATTAAATAGATATGAAATCCATGTAACTAATTTTAATTTAATTAGATTAAATCGAAATTATGGTATTTTCATACTTATATCTTACCAAAGAAGTTTAATTTTAAAATTATAAAGATTTCTTGAATATAATTTTTAGAATTATTTAACAAGATGATAAATATTTATTAAATTTTGTGAATCATGAAAAATAATAATTAATTTTTAATCATTATATTTCACCTTTCAAAGTTTCAATCTATCATCTAACAAATAAGTTACAGATTCTATTATTCCTATGTCCAAACTCTATTTTGTTGTATGACTAAATAATATTCCCATTAGAGCTGTCAAAGCGAGTTGATTCGTCCCGTTAACCCCGTTTTGTGATAGGCAAAATATATTTTGACATATAGTTAGTCGGTCCACACGACCCGCAGGTAGCATATATGAAACACAAACCTGTCCCGCGAATGTATGCTGATTTGCGGGGTTGTCCGTGAATTTTGTTTAAATAATTTTAAAGTAGCAAAAATTTAAAATACTACTAAAATAAATAAATAAAACAAATTTAGAGAAAATAATTTTATATATCATTATATTTATAAATATTATAATTTCATTTATTAAAAAATTTTTAAATTACCAAATGTTGAATAAATTATATTTTATCAATAAATACTAACATGCGGGCTGATCCGCCAACCCTCGGACGAAAACCGATTAAAACCTATGATCCGCTGCGAATCAATCCATGTGGCCCGTTTATTTACGGGTTTAATATATTTTCCCAAATCTGCCCCATAGTGAGATGATTTGGGCTCGACCCATTGTTTTGACCTATTTTGACTGCTCTAAGTCCTATGAATCGTCTAATTTTAGAATTCTAAAACATAAAATTCCATTTTGTAATCATAGTTAATATGATTGGTTTAATTATAAACAATTTAATATTTTCTCTACAATTCGTTATTATGAACATTTATAAGTACACTACACGATTCGCTCTACTTAAAACACGCACAATATTAAAATCAACGTATGTAAACCAATATTCTCCCGCGGTGGACCGCGGGTCCGATCTTAGTTAAATTTAAAATATGTAAGATTCCCAAAAAAATTGACTGATTAATAGTGATCAACTTGTTACAATCAAAGGCATATGAGTGGTCATGAGATTTAAAACTTTCGACAGCTTTATTTATAACATAGTGAAATACATAGAAGATTATTTTTTACAATCGAGACAGATCTTAATAACAAATTTTTTATAAAAAAAAAAACAATTACAATGAAACATAAAATTGACGAGGATTATGTTATATCATAATGTGACTAGGTTTTTGAATAATTGTGAAAATAATTGAAGTATAAAATGTTAGATTTTCAGAGAGGCATAATTTAGTAATTTATAAGTGAAATAATATTTAAATTTATTTGAACTATTTTAGAACCAAAAAATTGTGACACTCTAATACACGAATTTGCGTGGCACTCTTTTTCGGATCAATTAACATCGAATGTGAAAATCTTTTATTGAATACCTTATAGATATAAGAATCAATAATATATCGATTTTAATAAAATATTTTCCGAGCAAAAATATTAAATAAAACTCGATTGAGTGAAAATGGATATGAAGAAAATATATAATCATTCTAAATCATTATTTTAATATACCCTTTTGGATTCCCTAGATTTTTAAAACTTCATTATCGATTCAACAATTGTACCTCAATAATTTCGGATGTACCTCAACAAGCAATTTTTTCTTTTTATGGTTTAACCTAAACAAGCAATTTATTTTTATTTTTACCATAACTATCATGAACATGTTGACTAGTTAACTATCTCTATCTCCTTCTAACGAAATTATTAAAATGACTATTTCTGCTCCTTTTACTCCAACCAGATAGTGGTCCGAATTCTAATCCTAACACAAAGATTTAGCTTTGTATTTTCTCTTTTTTATTTCAGTAAAATAAACCAAAAAAAAAAAATATTAATAATTAAGAACTTCTTTATTCAACGAAAAATATGGATATTAATAACACCAAAGCCACGTGCATTGTCACTTCCAACTTTAGAAAATTTGTATTTATATAAACAAGTTTTATCTAATTATCAGTTTTGTTATTTTGTCTTTAATCTCACTTCACCGTCTCTCTCACTCAATCTCCGTGATTCTTCTCCGACGTTGATAACAAAACAATCCTCGAAATCTCCGGCGATGGGTGGTTGTGTCTCCTCCAACCTCCTTAATCCGACCGATGACAACAACTTCTCTCACCTCACCAGCTCCTCCTTAAGCCACCATTTCGTCAAGCTAACTTCCACAACTTATGGTCTTCTCAATCTCGACTCTTCACTTCCTCCGCCGCCTCCTTCCTCCTCCGCCGCTACCTCCGCTATATCGCCGATGACTCCGCCTGAGAGATTCACTATCAACGGTAAGGAGGCGGCGATGATGGTTAAGTCTGAGCCGACGACGGAGGTTATTAACTTCTGGGAGCTAATGTCAGGTCTCGACGGCGATACTTGTCGATTCTCTCCGATTCCGGTGAAATGTGATGTCTTTTCCGGCGGATTAAACAAAGAGAACTCCGATCCTAATTTGAAAAACCCTAACGATTACGAGGTTTTGAAACCGTTAGATCCGAAACTAGCGGAGGAATCTGAGAAATTGTGTGACGGCGGAGAGAATCGTGTTGTGATTTACACGACGTCGTTGCGCGGTGTGCGACGGACGTTTGAGGCGTGTAACGCCGTGAGAGCTGCGATTGAGAGTTTTGGTGTAGTAATCTGTGAGAGAGATGTGTCAATGGATAGAGGATTTAGAGAAGAGTTATCGAATCTCATGGCGGTAGAAAGAACCGGAGAATCGACGGTGGTGTTGCCGCCTCGGGTTTTCGTGAAGGGGAAGTACATTGGTGGAGCAGAGGAAGTGATGAGATTGGTTGAAGAAGGATTGCTTGGTGAATTGCTTAAAGGGATTCCGAAGAAGAAAGATCGGTGTGGCGGCGGTTGCGATGGTTGCGGCGGATTAGCGTTTTTGCCGTGTTCGGGTTGTAATGGAAGCTGTAAAGTGGTGGAAGGATGGGGTAATGAGGCTGTAGTGGTGAAGTGTATGGAGTGTAATGAGAATGGTCTTGTTCGTTGTCCGATTTGCAGCTAAAATAATACACTAGTAATAATCTCGAATTTGGAATCATATATCTAATACTACTACTACTACTGTTAGAGTCTATCTGTGTCAAGATTATGCTGAAACTAAGGCAAAGATCTTGGTTGTGGTAGAGATACGTTCTTTGTTTGTTGGTTAGTTTACATAAAATCAATACAAAGTGTTTGTGTTCTTTGTTAGTTTTTTTTGTAGTTTCTTCAAATAGTTTTATGGTTTGTTCAATTAGTAGTTGTCTTGTTTTGGTTTCATTTCGAGTCGGTGAACAGAAACTGAGAAACGTTGGATTGAGTTTGGTCACATTTGGTCACAATTGGCTATGGAGACTTAGAAACCAACATCACGCTATAACTCAAATCGAAATGAATCAAAACTAACCGAATTGAATAGGCCCAGCTCCAAAAGATCTAAAGTCAATCAGATAGGCCCAGGCCCAGCCCCCAAAAGATCCCTCCTTTTTCCGAATGTTTTCAAGAAGTTCTTCTCAAGTATGTCCTTTTGACAATTGAGTTTTTGAGTTTTGACAATTGAGTTTCCTAATTTCCTTCTAGAATCCTTATTCATATAGTCATATAGTCCTAGTTTTTGAGTTTTGACAATTGAGTTTCCTAATTTCCTTCTAGAATCCTTATTCCCTCGATAATCTCTGCTTAAATCCCCTTTTGCGTCTCACTATCGAAACTGGAAACTCTCGTCGCGACACTTTCGGCGACCTTACTGTCACTGAACATTCCGATGTCATGTGATTTTGGATTGAATTTACTCTTAACACTTAAGACTTAAGTATTCATCTTTGTGATTTTGGATTGGATTTAGTCTTTAGATATCATGTTTGATATTTTGTTCTCTTTATTTGATCATTTGAGCATGTACAATGATTTAAAACTTCGGGTATTGGAGTCATATTGCGGGTTTATGGGTAATTTTACCCATTTAGATCCAAACCCAATGGGAATCAAATTTTTCGAGTTTTTTCAGTTCTCATGCTTATTACCCAAACCGACCCGAACCCGACGATACCCGAACCGGACCGAAACCGAATCTTTAGAAATACCCGAATTGGCCATAAACTCATTACCCGTTCAACCCGAACCCGAACGGGTTACCCATATGCCCAGGCCAAGTCATGAGTGTTAATTAACACTTATTTGCTTGTTTTTTTTTTGTATAGATAAGGAACCAAAGATCGACCAAGATTGATGGTCTAGATGATAAGGCCAACATATGGCAAGAATATATGATTCTAGAAGAATCTAGAAAAATATGGGTAAATGTTAATATCGAAGTTTAGGATATTTAATATTATCTCTAAATATATTTTTTATATTTACATTTATCTCAATTTAAGAAATTATATATATATATATATATCTACTATACATTTTTGCAGCAGTTTTTGGGGTACCCAAATCGGGTCAAATTTGTTTAATTTTGATCCGGAAATCTTCAATCGGATCTTTCCTTAAATTTTGGCAAAATTAAAAAACGAAAATAATTAATAAAATCTAAAATATATATATTTTCTCAACTAATTACTATATTTAAACGCTTTATTTATGGTATATTCTCCACGATTTTTATAGATAAAGAAATCAAATATGATGATTTAATGCTAATATAACAAATTTGCACTAATTTCCTAAAACCACTCTACCTAATTTAAACATAAATATATGATTCTTATTTCACTTTTATTTGATCTTATATTTATATTATTTTAAATTATTATAAAATATATAAATAGTTAGTAAATTTTAGTTTTTTTTTTCCTGCATATGTTACAATTCAAATTTTTTAAAACGGACATATATTACTCAATCGATGAATAAAAATATGTGTGTAATCTATATTAACAATTTTAAGAACAAATTGAGCATTTAATCATGTCGTTATTTTATTCAGACCCGAAATTGAGTCATTCGGATCTTTCTTTAATTTTTACAATTATCTAAAATGGGACAGTATATCACGGGTGAAATCCTAATTAGTATTTTAAGATACAATTATAAATTGTTTTTACGGGTTGGTCCAAAAACACAAACTAATTTAAAAATATACATGGAAACTATTTGAAAGCAACTTTCAAATTAACTCGAATTATATGACATTTAAATAAAAGTGTTATTAAAAAATAACAAAATGATGTTTAATTTCATTTTAGATTATATGGTTGGACGGGTTTGGGTCAATATTAATACGAGACAATATACCACAGGTGAAATCCTATAAATAACAAATCAAAATACAATTATACAATCTTAAACACTAAACAAAACAAATACAACTTAAAATTTTTTATTTTAGATACAACGCATGTGACCCGCGGTATACAACAAAAAATATTATACACAATAAATTCATCAATTTATAAAAATAAAAAAATCAAATAATTAACCCGCGGTGTACCGCGGGTCATATCCTAGTATATATATATATATCAATGTATCATGAGACTCTATTATAATTCTTCCACGACACATTTGTGTTCTTACTCTCATCAATTTTTCAGCTTTGCGTATCAACACTCTACAAATTAGAATAATTAATAATTAAGATCAATTTTAAAAATAATAAAACGACATACTGTGTGGAAGCCCCCTTGGCCCATTGGTTGATCAATGGTTAATTAATGCTTCTACATCTAGACGTCTGAGGTTCGAGTCCCAGATACTGCGATTTATTAATATATTTACAGATTATTGGAGGCAAGTGTGCATGAGATCTCCAGCGATGTACAATTATAGCCGTTCACCACGATTCTACGCAGAGAGTGAAGTGTCCATCAAGAGCATGAAGAAGGACCTGAAAGAGGTGATCATGAAGAAGGAGATGAATAGGTGACGTTTGTCGTGGATCTAATAAGGGTCGGAAGGAATTGTCAGTTGTAGAATCGTCTATGTAACATTTCTCATAATTTGCAATAAATAATGAATCTAGAGAAAAAAAAACCGACATACTGTTGGGTGATACTTTTGAAATGAGTAAGAACAAGAACAAAAAGAACAACATATTAACTCAGCTTTTCATAATGTCATTTTTTGCACCTCATTATTAACAAAACATAAATTATCCTGATGAAAACGGTCCCAAAATTCGATAGACCTAGCATAAAATAATCTAAAGGTTGGTGGTTATTTAATTACATATTTTATATTTACATGCACATTGTATTTATGTAAATACCCTTCTACTTGTGAAAATAACATCATGTCTCTTGATTGTATGTGATGATTAGAAAAGCAACGTTTGATTTAAGAGAAGCATCTCTTGGATCAAGCACCGCTTGGATTAATATTTAAAGAGATGTCACGATACAGAGAGAGAGTGAGTGATGTTGGTGTCGGATCCCGCACCAGAAGTACGAGACCAACCAAAGATTGCCACGTAGTCAAGCGGGTGGCCCATAAAGGATGAAGCCCATTGGGCCCATGAACCGAGGGGACGGTCGAAGTGGTTGTCACCATTTCGAGAGTCCGAAGTGACTGCACTAAGACGTGAGTTCGGAGTAGAAGATGCGGGTAGGTCGGCTCGAGGACACTTGGGCCAAAAAGGCGAGGCCCATGAAAATCAGAGTCAACTCAAATTCAAACGTTGAGCATTAAAGTCGAAGAATCAAAACGGACACATTTAAGAAGGAATAATTGTACTTAATTGTCCATTTTAATGTCGCTTATCTATGTATAAATATAGAGGCCAATGGCCATGTAAAGTGGATCTTCCTCTCAAGAGAGAAATATTATAGCAATTTTCGTATCAATTTATAAGCTTTTTACATATTTATTTTTGTCCCTCAAGAATAATCTTTCCCACCTAACAAAATACTTGAGTGTGTGAATCCGACATCCACATTTTGGCGCCGTCTGTGGGGAGATCAGGATTCTTGAGTGGTCAGATTTCTTCTTTTCTACATTTCCGAGATAAGCGACAATGTCCGGAGGAGACGCTGTTGAGACATCATTGGCCGAAACCCTCAAAGCTATGCAGCAAACCATGTCGGACATATCACAAAAGTTTTCGGATGTGGAGAAGGCCGTCGATACGTTGCAAACATCCCAGGTATCTCTTAGCCAAAACGTCAATAATATACAAACTCGCGTTCGCTCTTTAAGTGCAGGAAACCCGGTGGGAACCCGAAGAGGGATATTCAACTCGCCAAGTTCCGCTGCACGAAATGAAACCAGCGGACAAACAACTCCCGGTGCTACAAATAATGTAGCTCAGACGTCGGAAGAAGAGACGCAGATCGGGGATGAAGAACAACTTGCAGCTCAGTACGAGCAGGAGAACCTCGACCAGTTCGAGACCATGAAAAAGGTTAGCCAGGAATTAAAAGAAATGAAATCAAAATTTCATCAGGCTACAAGTTCGGAGCCAGACATCAATCGAGTCATTGAAGAAGCAAGGCGAACCCCTTTTATCCCGCGAATTGCAAGTTTAAGGATCAAAGATTCCCGGAAACTCAAATTGGACCCTTACAGCGGATTGGAGGATCCAAAAAGCTATCTTGCAGCCTTTCTGATCGCTGCTGGAAGAGTCGAATTGGATGAAGCTGACGAGGACGCAGGCTATTGCAAGCTGTTTTCGGAGAATCTATGTGGCCAAGCTCTAATGTGGTTCACCCAACTAGAGCCGGGTTCGATCAGCAATTTCGACGAACTGTCAGCCGTGTTCTTAAAGCAATACTCTATCCTTATGGATAAAAGCGTTTCGGATGCCGATCTTTGGAACTTGACGCAAGGATCTAATGAGTCACTTCGAGCTTTCATCACCAAATTCAAAGGAGTGCTATCAAAACTCCCGAGAATCTCACAGCAATCAGCCTTATCTGCCCTACGAAAAGGATTACGACATGATTCAAGGTTTAAAGAAGACTTAATACTTCATAAACCAGATACAATTCAGGATGCACTCTTCCGTGCAAACAATTGGATGGAGGTAGAAGACGAAAAAGAAAGTTTTGCCAAACGGAATAAACAAGAAAAGCCGGCAGTCACCGTCCCTACCAAGAAGTTCGAGTCTAGAGAGAGCAAAGGACCAAGGAAGTTTGGGTCGCAACCCTTCAACAATTCCGTCGGGAAGCAATTCCAAGGGAAAGGAAGATCAAACACTTGGGTCCGTGATGAAAGTCTATATTGCGACATTCATAAAGTAACCGGACATTTAACCAAGGATTGCAGCGTTC